AAAAAAAAAAAAAAAAGAAACCAGTGCATGGCAGGAATTCAGGAGCAAAATAACTTGATGGTTCCCCAAGCAGGCAGCAGGAGCTTGGTTCCTGGGTGTGACTTTCGGGCTATTGGTTTTAGCTCCAGGGATATTTGTCAAAAGTGTTTAAGGCAGCAGTCAGCTCTGCCTCTGCAGAAATAACAAAGAAAAAACAAATGGCAGGGGCAGACAATCCCTGTGGGGAAACACAGATCTATGAGTTCCATAGTTAGTCAGAGAAACGAAGGGATCAGCAAAAGCCCCCATCATTCAAGTGACTTTTCCTGAGCTCTAAGTAAATCTTGGCTTTAACATCAGGTTGTAGGGGCAGTATCCATCACATTCTCAAGGCAGTCGTTTTTTAATTTTTTTTCCAGGATCAAGACTGTAAACGCTTCTTCCTTCCAAGGCAAGGCATTGCTGCCTGCATTCTGTGTGTGTCATGTGGCCTCAAGCGCACCCGGGATTTCCCTGGAGTGTGTCCTGGCAGTGAGGAAGCACGCAAGGCATCTGACATCTCAGCACCCACAACTGAACATTTTTATGACATTCGCCCAGCTGTACCTTTATAAAGATATTATGCAGGTTCCGAGAGATTAAGCTTTCCTCCCCATCCAGCTGCTGTGGAATGATGCCCGGCATATGGAGGACGGATAGAATTTCCACCCTGACATGTGCTGAGAAATTTGACTTTAAAGAAATATTAATGAGTACTTTAGATCATCAGCCATGCATGAAGGCAGGACAGCAGGAGTCTGGAAGCTAAATCCACAAATGCGTGGGGCCGTCCCTGGATGATCCAGGGAAAGCAGTTCATCCATTCGGTCACATTGAGCATCTCCTGCCAAATGAGGGGTTCCCTGCTTGCTGGAGCTGCAGAGCTGAGTTTGAACCCCATGGGGACCTGTGGCTTTGCTGGAAAGTGTTAACAGAGATGCCTGGATGCAGGAATCCGGAGCCTGGTGCCGCCCAGCCCTTTATAGCTGTGGTCTTGAACACACTTCTGCTCCTTTCTGGCACTGGCGCTCATCAGAGGGGGTCAGTGAAGTTTGGAGTTGAGTTTCTTTTTCATCTGGATGGACTCCCACCTAAAACATTTCAAGGAGCCCTTGTTTGTTCATCTTCCAGGCTGGGAACTGAAATTTGTTCTGAAGTCTGACCACCCTCTGTTTTGGGGAAGCAACTCCCGGTGGCAAGGTGAAGTTGGGGCTTGACCTCAGGAACGTGGCCGGTGCTCCTAGGATGGTGGCCAGCAATGGGGAGGAGCTGACCCGGGGAGGAACTTCAAGGTTGATTTCGGGTCTGGGGCTGGCAGTACAGACATGAGGAGGGACAGTTCTATGCTTTGAGGGAGCTGTAGCCCTGGCAGTGGGGGAGGACTTCACCTGGGGGGGGCAGTCAGGGGCTGTCACTGCAGAAGCTGGGTGGCCCTCTCACTAGGGTAATGGACCACAGATAGCAGACACATCCAGGCAGCTGCAGAGAACACGCTGGAGTGCCCCATTTCAGAGCGTGGGCAATGCTGGCCTGGCAACAGCCAGGAATCCCATCCCCAGGTGTGAGGTGTGGGCACAGAGCCACCTTCCTCTCCAGGTGCAGGGTGGGATGGGGAGATGGGGCCAGGGAGGATGGCTGGCAGCAGGGAGATGGGGAGGTAGCAGGGGTAAGATGGAGTGGGGAGGTAGGGTAGGTGAGATGGGGTGGGGAGGAGGGGGGATATGGGTGG